AACAATATTCTCGAATGAATTTATGTTTTGTAAGGATTCGGATGACTTGTTCATGGTTTGTCTTTTGAAAACTGGTTCATTGGTATATATATTGGAAATTGTAATGTAAAGCAAATGCTTGGTGAGGAGAAAATGAACTTCTATTTAAGAAAAAGTAAAGGGTTAATATTGAACCAGTGTTATGCCATCAATACTCCGTATGTTTATTATTGCTAAGTCGAGAATTGTATAAAACTTCAGTGTACTTACTTGACTATCAAAAAACTGATAGTAACTTCTCAGTTTTCATATTTCATAGCAGCTCAATCAAATCGTTGAGTGTTACTTTAGACTCGATGGTTTTGTAAAGCATCACTATTTCAATATAGAGATGATGAAGTTAAACCACCAGTAAATAAACTTTGAATTTAAAACATTTCTAGATCATTTTTGTGTGTAACGCAAATTGTCGAATGTTGTGAATCTTTCGAGGAGAAACTAAGCTGTCATTTCAAGTATAATGCAAGATGACCTCATGCTCACGTTTCAAGTCATTGAGTCGTTAAATATTATTAGTAATCTGTTTCGACATTGTCCTTTCGAAATTTTTAATCCGTTTTGAAAGAGACGCATCAGTCAATTTCGCCCACATAAATGCTTATTATTCAGTACACAGGTCTTATGACTCGATTCATTTAAATATTGGCTTGTCATGAACTTAGGTAACTGAAAAATCGCTTATGAAATCTATCTAAGATGAAATGATAATTAATGCACTTTCAACAGTCTTACTGGACAACCATAGTTTATATTTGTCTCTCAAATGGTGTTTTTTCGTTTTATTTTACTTCATTAATCTCAAAATGCAATATACCAGTGACAATAATAATAGAAATATAAGTCTTCTACCATGTAGGTTGTAAGAATACATATGATAAGATTCAACCAACTGTGTCCACGAGCTTCTTGTAGCACACTTCAGAAGTAAACTGTGATGGATATTTGATTACTATTTCAAGCACTGCTAACAATTATTTAATATGATGTCGCAATGGAACCTACTTCCCATCTGTTCAATGTTTTGTGAATTGGTGTCATATTTAAAGACAATATATCTAGTTTTAAAACCTAGTATATAGAACGACATTACAATGGTAAAATTCCTATTCAGTTCATGATATTTATAAGAGAACGTTTAAAAGATTACTATTTGTTGATGGATCTACTATCTCAAATTTTCTTCAAAATCTGGAGGAACCAATATTGAACACTGAGAACAGTAACTTTGAATTCAGGAAAAAAAAGGTGAATTTCACAGAGTTAGAAATCAAAGTGATTAAAAAAACAAAGATCTAATAATCAAACTCGAAAAATATGCCACTAGGTCTAATTTTACAGATCAAATATTAAATTAAGTGATAACCTGAATGGTAGTGTCAATATAATTACTTTGAAACAGGAACTCATACGACTGTCAGTGTGTTGTTTTCAGAAATGCAAAACAGCATATATTAATTAACTCCGAATTTATACAAGTTTGCATTATGTTGCTCACATACTTCAGTCAGTGGAACTTTCAAGGGCGTGATGAAATGCATCCGCTTTATAACAATTCAATTTCTAGTGATCATGATGATAATATTGGTGACCAACAGATGCCCCCCTTTGTTCCAATTCTTTATATAATAATCTTTTGTAAAAATAAAGCTACATATACAAACTTATAATGCAGTCTTAATTTATGACTTCTTTGACCTTAAATATGCTGTACACATAAGAAGTATGGTGGTATCTTACAATCAAATTAGGTTGGCTACTTAAAATGATATACCAATGTCATATGTGTCAACACATATTTCTGTTGCTACTATGACATAATAAGAACTCTAATACTTCACAACTATTTATCAGTTTAAATAGCAAACAACTAGTGTGATGGATCATTTAGACTTTAATGGTCACCTTTTATAAACTAAGTGGCCGTATTTAGTTTTAGTGCTTAGAAGAATAAATAAGAGAAAGGTATTCCGTTTGACTGAGTTATATTCATAGTTGTGAGTAAGTAAACTTATTCGGAAGAAATCTGAAATAAATTTACTGTCAACATTTATTAAATATAAAGTAATATGACTAGATCAATAATCTAGCAAATAGTATTGAATAGCGCAGTGTATGGTTTTTATCAAGAAGACAAGTTAGATTTGAATTACAAAGGGTATCAATCCAATTAATAGGACGAAAGATATTGAAATTGATTTGTAAGACTAAGACAACCATGCATGAAGTTCGAATACATGTTTTGTGCACATAGCAGTAATGAGTAAATATATTTATTTATTATACTTGTGATCACTGCGACAACTATTAACCGAACTTCATGTTAGCGGGATATAGATTGGATCCGGGCATGTTCCATGCAGGACTGTGTCAGGGGCACTCTGGTCGGCTGTTTCTTACACAATCAGCGCTATCCGATACATGGAGAAGACCCCAGTATCTTTTTATGTAAAAATTATGAATATACTAACGTTTATCTTATCGTGATTTCTATTTCCATTCAACCTTGGGGTCGTAATAATAGAAATCATAATACATTGATAACAAGATACTATAGATCACTTCTATTTTACATTCAGCTAAGTTGTGCATCCGTCCAAGTTGCCATACCTCATTAGCACAACAACATGAACACCGAATTCATAGAAGTAGTTAATTTTATGGTGGTAATATATAAAAGTGAGATTGCATATAAAAATATAGTACAGGAAGAAAGACAGATATGAAACAACTTTAATCTCATCGTTTAAGGGAGGAAATAGAGTGTATGCAACTACGCCATTGTGATCGATTCTGAGACATGTCACATAGAGTCTCCAACCATTGGTTACAATAGTCACACGTACGTCGTCCAAGTAGTCTGCATAGTAAGGGGTCGAAATCATCCTGTGATAACCATAGAGGAATTAGTTTGACTAATATAACATCTAAAACACTAGCCTTAATAATTATCGGGTGCCTAACTAAGACTCGTGAATTGCAAACACGCGAAAATCAGGCTGGCTTCAGACCTAGTGATGGCTGCATCCACCATATATTCACCATTCGTCAACTTTTAGAGCACAGACATGCTTATCGGCGTCCGACAATGATAGTTTTTCTTGACTTGAAAGCAGCATTTGACTCTGTAGACCGAGAGGTTCTGTGGCAGTGTCTGTCATTGAAAGGTGTACCTCAGAAGTACATAAATCTTGTGAAGACTCTTTACTCGAACACTACCAGACAAGTGAGAGCTTATGACGAACTGTCATCTGATTTTACAACCTCAAGTGGTGTCCGACAAGGCTGACCACTATCTCCATTTCTGTTCAATGTCGTCATAGACCTACTGCTGGAAATAACACTCTCTTCGACTGAATTTTCAAGAATTGATCTCCTACCAGGAAGTCCACTTATCGACTTAGAATACACAGATAACATAGTCCTGTTTGATGAAAACGCTGATAAAATGCAGGGTCTTCTGGTAGCACTGAACAACATTGCAAGGATGTTTGATTTGGGTTTCTCCCTCCCTAAATGTAAACTGTTACTCCAGGACTGGCGTGTGTCAACATCTGAACTAAGGATAGGGATTGAAGTAGTCGAATGCGACAAAAACTTCACTTATATTAGAAGATTGATCAGCCCTAATGGGTTGGTGTCTGACGAAATCTCAGCACGGATTCAATGAGAAGCTCGTTTGGCTTTTGTCAACTTACTTCACCCATGGCGTAGACGAGATATCTATCTTTCAATTAAGGGACAAGTATACTGCACATTTCTGTTCTACTTTACGGCTGTGAAACGTGGCCATTAAGCGTAGAAGATACTCGTAAGTTACTAGTATTTCACCACAGATGTCTTAGAAATATTGCTCCCATCTGCTGGGATCACCGGGTAGATAATAGTGAGGTTACACACGGGGTATTGGGGAATGATGGTAAATCAGTTGATGAGATTGTGAATCTTCATCAACTGAGATGGTTGGGTCATGTGTTACGTATGCCTGAACACAGATTACCACGACGAGCTATGCTGATTAGTATTGGCGGTTGTTGGGAGTTAGGGGTGGCCAAACGAAAATGTAGCATCAGTGCTTGAAGTCACTAACTTCTATTGTGATCAATGTTTGTAGATGCAGACTACTTGGTCGACGTACGTGTGACTATTGTAACCAATGGTTGGAGACTCTATGTGACATGTCTCAGAATCGATCACAATGGCGTAGTTGCATACACTCTATTTCCTCTCTTAAACGATGAGATTAAAGTTGTTTCATATCTGTCTTTCTTCCTGTACTATATTTTTATATGCAATCTCACTTTTATATATTACCACCATAAAATTAACTACTTCTATGAATTCGGTGTTCATGTTGTTGTGCTAATGAGGTATGACAACTTGGACCGATACATATATGTGCGTGGTCCTACGTTACAGCTGTCTGACTGACAAGTCTCAATGTAACCTACAACCAAGTTCACTGGTTTATATTTGGTACATAAGTTACATTCATCCTAAAATGGTAATAAGATTTTATTCTGTTATACATTTATTACAAAAAAAACCCTTATTCATTAAAAATTTATTTTCATAATTAAAAGAGCTCAATAGCTATAATTGACTTCTTGGATAGTAAGTCATCTGTGAATTTTAAATAATGTAACGAAATAGTACTAATCCCAATCAGTCTAGAACTTCAACGAGATACAATCAGAAAGTCAAATTTGAAATATGCAATATGAAATTGTATTTTATTATTATGATAGGTATATACACAACGTTAAATATTTAACTGTACAGTAAATGTATTAACCATTCAACATATCACCTATACGATTCATCTTAGTTACAAAAATTATGCAAATTTGCCCAAAATAAGGTAATCATTAGTTAAATAAGAATAAAAGCGATATATTTGACTCTTGTAAATGATAGAACTTTATAAGAACAAATACTGATTAACAGAAATCTTTGACTCAGTATTAAATATGATTGCTAGAACAATGCAGTCTAGAATAAAATGTTACGTCAAAATTTGGATCTAGTTGTTTTGTTTGCATTTCTTTGATTACTTTATTCATTATATAATATTCTATACAGTCATATGCAATAGGTTGAAAATTTTCTTGAAATTTATTTACAAAGAACTCCATTCGTAATGGTATAAATGGTAGATGAGCTTTACCAATTATACAAACAGTTCGACGAGTATGTTGACTTAGACAATTTTTCTTGCCCCAATTGACGTAGCGTGCTATAAATGGAGATGATAAATTCTTTTTATCATTATTTATACAAGCACCAGGGGCACCAAATTGGGGATTATAATTTAAAGTAGGAAAATATAATTCATCTGGATGCTTTTGTAAATGTTTCTCAGATTTGATCGCATCAAGTATTTTCTGTGACTTTAAATCAGTTTTATAAAATTGTATGAACTCTCGTTTTAATGCCATATAGAAGCTTCCTTTGTTCCAAACAATCTATGTAAGAAAAAAAAGGTAAGAAAGTAAATTATTGGATAATTGACATCAATTCGTTTTTAGGTACAGTAGATATTTATTTGAACTGGATAAATTTCAAAATGTAATTACACCTTAATAAAAGGAAGTTATAAGTAAGCTGTTAGATTCAAGTAATATGGTAAAAACAATTAAGCACCACAATAAAGTACTACATTTATACGAATACTGATGCAGCTACATGTTTGAATGGATTACATTATGGCTATTTTATCAAGAGTTGATTAGGTATTAATTCTTCGAATCTAAAAACAATATTCTCGAATGAATTTATGTTTTGTAAGGATTCGGATGACTTGTTCATGGTTTGTCTTTTGAAAACTGGTTCATTGGTATATATATTGGAAATTGTAATGTAAAGCAAATGCTTGGTGAGGAGAAAATGAACTTCTATTTAAGAAAAAGTAAAGGGTTAATATTGAACCAGTGTTATGCCATCAATACTCCGTATGTTTATTATTGCTAAGTCGAGAATTGTATAAAACTTCAGTGTACTTACTTGACTATCAAAAAACTGATAGTAACTTCTCAGTTTTCATATTTCATAGCAGCTCAATCAAATCGTTGAGTGTTACTTTAGACTCGATGGTTTTGTAAAGCATCACTATTTCAATATAGAGATGATGAAGTTAAACCACCAGTAAATAAACTTTGAATTTAAAACATTTCTAGATCATTTTTGTGTGTAACGCAAATTGTCGAATGTTGTGAATCTTTCGAGGAGAAACTAAGCTGTCATTTCAAGTATAATGCAAGATGACCTCATGCTCACGTTTCAAGTCATTGAGTCGTTAAATATTATTAGTAATCTGTTTCGACATTGTCCTTTCGAAATTTTTAATCCGTTTTGAAAGAGACGCATCAGTCAATTTCGCCCACATAAATGCTTATTATTCAGTACACAGGTCTTATGACTCGATTCATTTAAATATTGGCTTGTCATGAACTTAGGTAACTGAAAAATCGCTTATGAAATCTATCTAAGATGAAATGATAATTAATGCACTTTCAACAGTCTTACTGGACAACCATAGTTTATATTTGTCTCTCAAATGGTGTTTTTTCGTTTTATTTTACTTCATTAATCTCAAAATGCAATATACCAGTGACAATAATAATAGAAATATAAGTCTTCTACCATGTAGGTTGTAAGAATACATATGATAAGATTCAACCAACTGTGTCCACGAGCTTCTTGTAGCACACTTCAGAAGTAAACTGTGATGGATATTTGATTACTATTTCAAGCACTGCTAACAATTATTTAATATGATGTCGCAATGGAACCTACTTCCCATCTGTTCAATGTTTTGTGAATTGGTGTCATATTTAAAGACAATATATCTAGTTTTAAAACCTAGTATATAGAACGACATTACAATGGTAAAATTCCTATTCAGTTCATGATATTTATAAGAGAACGTTTAAAAGATTACTATTTGTTGATGGATCTACTATCTCAAATTTTCTTCAAAATCTGGAGGAACCAATATTGAACACTGAGAACAGTAACTTTGAATTCAGGAAAAAAAAGGTGAATTTCACAGAGTTAGAAATCAAAGTGATTAAAAAAACAAAGATCTAATAATCAAACTCGAAAAATATGCCACTAGGTCTAATTTTACAGATCAAATATTAAATTAAGTGATAACCTGAATGGTAGTGTCAATATAATTACTTTGAAACAGGAACTCATACGACTGTCAGTGTGTTGTTTTCAGAAATGCAAAACAGCATATATTAATTAACTCCGAATTTATACAAGTTTGCATTATGTTGCTCACATACTTCAGTCAGTGGAACTTTCAAGGGCGTGATGAAATGCATCCGCTTTATAACAATTCAATTTCTAGTGATCATGATGATAATATTGGTGACCAACAGATGCCCCCCTTTGTTCCAATTCTTTATATAATAATCTTTTGTAAAAATAAAGCTACATATACAAACTTATAATGCAGTCTTAATTTATGACTTCTTTGACCTTAAATATGCTGTACACATAAGAAGTATGGTGGTATCTTACAATCAAATTAGGTTGGCTACTTAAAATGATATACCAATGTCATATGTGTCAACACATATTTCTGTTGCTACTATGACATAATAAGAACTCTAATACTTCACAACTATTTATCAGTTTAAATAGCAAACAACTAGTGTGATGGATCATTTAGACTTTAATGGTCACCTTTTATAAACTAAGTGGCCGTATTTAGTTTTAGTGCTTAGAAGAATAAATAAGAGAAAGGTATTCCGTTTGACTGAGTTATATTCATAGTTGTGAGTAAGTAAACTTATTCGGAAGAAATCTGAAATAAATTTACTGTCAACATTTATTAAATATAAAGTAATATGACTAGATCAATAATCTAGCAAATAGTATTGAATAGCGCAGTGTATGGTTTTTATCAAGAAGACAAGTTAGATTTGAATTACAAAGGGTATCAATCCAATTAATAGGACGAAAGATATTGAAATTGATTTGTAAGACTAAGACAACCATGCATGAAGTTCGAATACATGTTTTGTGCACATAGCAGTAATGAGTAAATATATTTATTTATTATACTTGTGATCACTGCGACAACTATTAACCGAACTTCATGTTAGCGGGATATAGATTGGATCCGGGCATGTTCCATGCAGGACTGTGTCAGGGGCACTCTGGTCGGCTGTTTCTTACACAATCAGCGATATCCGATACATGGAGAAGACCCCAGTATCTTTTTATGTAAAAATTATGAATATACTAACGTTTATCTTATCGTGATTTCTATTTCCATTCAACCTTGGGGTCGTAATAATAGAAATCATAATACATTGATAACAAGATACTATAGATCACTTCTATTTTACATTCAGCTAAGTTGTGCATCCGTCCAAGTTGCCATACCTCATTAGCACAACAACATGAACACCGAATTCATAGAAGTAGTTAATTTTATGGTGGTAATATATAAAAGTGAGATTGCATATAAAAATATAGTACAGGAAGAAAGACAGATATGAAACAACTTTAATCTCATCGTTTAAGGGAGGAAATAGAGTGTATGCAACTACGCCATTGTGATCGATTCTGAGACATGTCACATAGAGTCTCCAACCATTGGTTACAATAGTCACACGTACGTCGTCCAAGTAGTCTGCATAGTAAGGGGTCGAAATCATCCTGTGATAACCATAGAGGAATTAGTTTGACTAATATAACATCTAAAACACTAGCCCTAATAATTATCGGGTGCCTAACTAAGACTCGTGAATTGCAAACACGCGAAAATCAGGCTGGCTTCAGACCTAGTGATGGCTGCATCCACCATATATTCACCATTCGTCAACTTTTAGAGCACAGACATGCTTATCGGCGTCCGACAATGATAGTTTTTCTTGACTTGAAAGCAGCATTTGACTCTGTAGACCGAGAGGTTCTGTGGCAGTGTCTGTCATTGAAAGGTGTACCTCAGAAGTACATAAATCTTGTGAAGACTCTTTACTCGAACACTACCAGACAAGTGAGAGCTTATGACGAACTGTCATCTGATTTTACAACCTCAAGTGGTGTCCGACAAGGCTGACCACTATCTCCATTTCTGTTCAATGTCGTCATAGACCTACTGCTGGAAATAACACTCTCTTCGACTGAATTTTCAAGAATTGATCTCCTACCAGGAAGTCCACTTATCGACTTAGAATACACAGATAACATAGTCCTGTTTGATGAAAACGCTGATAAAATGCAGGGTCTTCTGGTAGCACTGAACAACATTGCAAGGATGTTTGATTTGGGTTTCTCCCTCCCTAAATGTAAACTGTTACTCCAGGACTGGCGTGTGTCAACATCTGAACTAAGGATAGGGATTGAAGTAGTCGAATGCGACAAAAACTTCACTTATATTAGAAGATTGATCAGCCCTAATGGGTTGGTGTCTGACGAAATCTCAGCACGGATTCAATGAGAAGCTCGTTTGGCTTTTGTCAACTTACTTCACCCATGGCGTAGACGAGATATCTATCTTTCAATTAAGGGACAAGTATACTGCACATTTCTGTTCTACTTTACGGCTGTGAAACGTGGCCATTAAGCGTAGAAGATACTCGTAAGTTACTAGTATTTCACCACAGATGTCTTAGAAATATTGCTCCCATCTGCTGGGATCACCGGGTAGATAATAGTGAGGTTACACACGGGGTATTGGGGAATGATGGTAAATCAGTTGATGAGATTGTGAATCTTCATCAACTGAGATGGTTGGGTCATGTGTTACGTATGCCTGAACACAGATTACCACGACGAGCTATGCTGATTAGTATTGGCGGTTGTTGGGAGTTAGGGGTGGCCAAACGAAAATGTAGCATCAGTGCTTGAAGTCACTAACTTCTATTGTGATCAATGTTTGTAGATGCAGACTACTTGGTCGACGTACGTGTGACTATTGTAACCAATGGTTGGAGACTCTATGTGACATGTCTCAGAATCGATCACAATGGCGTAGTTGCATACACTCTATTTCCTCTCTTAAACGATGAGATTAAAGTTGTTTCATATCTGTCTTTCTTCCTGTACTATATTTTTATATGCAATCTCACTTTTATATATTACCACCATAAAATTAACTACTTCTATGAATTCGGTGTTCATGTTGTTGTGCTAATGAGGTATGACAACTTGGACCGATACATATATGTGCGTGGTCCTACGTTACAGCTGTCTGACTGACAAGTCTCAATGTAACCTACAACCAAGTTCACTGGTTTATATTTGGTACATAAGTTACATTCATCCTAAAATGGTAATAAGATTTTATTCTGTTATACATTTATTACAAAAAAAACCCTTATTCATTAAAAATTTATTTTCATAATTAAAAGAGCTCAATAGCTATAATTGACTTCTTGGATAGTAAGTCATCTGTGAATTTTAAATAATGTAACGAAATAGTACTAATCCCAATCAGTATAGA